AATGTTCTTCATGTAATTGTAGATTAATGATAACAAAATTAAAAAAATAAAAATAAAAATAAATATAAATATATATATATACCTGTATCTTAAATTTAATTGGTAGACATCCAGGAAAATTAGCTTTCAGACTCAAAAATACACAAGTGAAATTAATGAGAATGATTGAAGTCCTATAAGATTCAAGGAGTTAATTATTTATTTTTAATAACTGAGTTGGAATTTGAGCTCTTGTAATTGGTTCGAGTACATAGAGCAGAATAGCAGCAAAGCTGATGATCAGCACCCCCTATTGGCCATCGCAGTAAGTGCAGGACAAAATCCTTGCCGGAAATGAACGGAGCGCCCGGTGCCCGCTATGCAGGAGCCGCGGTGGCTTAGGGCTGCTGCTGCCCCTGCTCTGGGTCACGTCTCCGGGTGGATTCACACGTGGCGCTCGCTATGGCCGGGACTCCAGGACCTCGTGTAGATGCCATGCAGGATTCGTCTCTGCACCTGGCTTTTTGTTACACCTTTGTTTTAACCAGAGGCCTTGAGGGCTTCTCATAAACCCCGCCCGTCCCCAGCGCCTGATTCATAAGCGTCTCCCTGGTCTCTCTGGTGCTGACATCCGTATCCACTTTCTCCCTGTCTCTCGTTTCGGTGCATTTTGTTCTCCCTTTCCTGCTTCCTCCTCTTTCTTCCCATGACCATGACAGCTGAAGGGGACTTGCCGGGCTGGCCGGCGTATGGCCCCGAGGACTCCCTGCCTTGCCCAGGCTCAGAGACCCCAGAGGAGCTCAGAAGCGCCGCCCTTACCCCGAGGGCGCGGTGGCCGCCGTCTTCCCCAGGAAAGTGCCTGTGGGTGGAGCTGGCTTGAAGAAGGAGGCAGGCTCACTGAGGCCTCTACGCGGTCATTGTCCCAAAGACTGGACAGGGTGGCCGGCTCTCGGGCCCTCCAAGGAGCGTGGAGGAGCGAGGGTCCTGGGTCGGTGCTCGGCCCGGTGGAGGGGAAGCTTCTAGAGGCCGGGCGAGAAGGGGACACCGAGGGGACAGAGGTCAGTCTGGTCCTGAGGGAGGGCAGGGATGCCCCTCTGCTGGGCTCTGTGCCTGCGGGCACTGCCCACCCTGGGCGGCCACAGTGACTGCATGATGGGCACAGAGTGAGGGGCTGGCTGGGCCGAGGTCCACCGGCGCTGCGAGCCCCCAGGGCCACTGCAGGACCTAAGGGAGGGGTAAGGAGCCCCCATGACATACATTATGGGCTGAATTGTGTCCCCCCCCAAAATCTATGATCACGTGCTCAGCCCAGCACCGTGAATGTGACCCGATCTGGAGGAAGGTTTGGCAGATGTAATCAGGTAAGACGAGGCCATCCTGGGTGGGCCCTGATCCAATGTGTCCTTACAGAAAGGGGGAGACACAGAGAGACCGGCAGGTAGACAGGAGCCATGTGACAACGGGCAGAGACAGGAGCCATGCAGCCACCTGCCAGGGACACCCAGGACCTCATGACCACCAGAAGCAGGACGAGGCAAGAAGGACCCTCCCTACCAGCTGCGGAGGGAACAGGGTGCTGCCAAGGCCTTGGACTCAGGCTCTGGCCTCCAGAACCGTGAGAGATACATTCCCACTGTCATGGCAGCCCCAGGGCTGCTGCTGTGCCCCTGGGGCTCCCCGCCACGTGGGGCCCCCCACCACCCAGGGCTCCCCGTCACCTGGGGCTCCTGCCATGCTCTGCTAGTCGCCACACCTGGGAGGGAAAAGAGCATCTCTGAATGATTTGTGTCCATCACACGTCAACCTGGGATCGACCTTGACGTAGACTTGCATGTGGTAGAGAACAAAGAGACACGGGGAGAAGGCCAAGGCTGCCCGCATCTCTAACGCCTGGCCTGATCTCCCGAGAAGTCTCCCCAGAAGCCTGGGGCTGCGTTTCAGGGCGTGCTGGCTCACTGCTCCTTGCCTGTTTGAATGAAAGATGATGGCGAGCAGAGCAGACAGAAAAGGGCCTCGTTGCACATGCTGGTGTCACACCAGGAAGGGACGGACCCCCAAGAGGTTTGAGTCCGAGCTCCATGCTTCCAAGATGTAAAAGCTGTAGGTTATTTAATCCTTCTGAACCTGCCTCCCCATAAATAAAGTGGGGTAATTTTTAGCACACAAGTTATTGTAAAGAAAAAAACAAACAATGTTCATGTGGCACCTGCCCCAGAGATGGTTCTGATTGTCGAGCACACAGAGGAAAATAAACATTCCCTTTTCCTGTGCGTCTCTCAGCCTACAAATCCCCGCTCACCGTGTGTCGTGCACGGCCATTGAGGAAATCTGCCAGGACAAGGGTAGCATCTCTCCTGCCCGTTTCCAGCTTAGGATGCAAGGCAGCCTGTGCCACCCAAGGGACAGTAGGTTTGGGATGTTAAGGAGGAAGTTTACGTGGCATGATATACGTGGCATGCCAAGTGTCACAGGCTGAATTGTGTTCTAATCCCAGGACTTCAGAATGTAACAGCATTTGGAGATAAGGTCTTTAAAGAGGTAACTAAGTTAGAATGAGTCTGTAGGCAGAAACCGATCCCACATAGCGATGTCCTTACAAGAAGAAATCAGGAGACACACACACACATGGGGGTGGGAGGGGGTGACCACGTGAGGACACAGGGAGAGGTGGCATCTACACACCAAGGAGAGAGGCCTCAGGGGAGCCAGCCCCACCCACACCTTGACCTTGGACTCCAGCCACCAGATGGGGAGAGGGGGCCTGTCAGTCCACCGGCCTGGAACGCTTGTCCACACCTGCGCTACTGCAGGAAGCTGTCACCAAGGAGGAGACACTACAGATGCTACTTTCAAATTATTTTCATGGAAGAAGCTGGATTTTTTTTAAATCTTTTCTTTAAACTTTGATTTATTCCACCTTGAGCTAAGTGTTTTCTTGTAGAATGAATTTCCTGAATGGTCCCTTTAGTTGTATAGACAGAAGACTGTTCTGCCGGAGGACTTACATGTTTTTTTTCTCTCAGTTAAGCCTTCTTTTCTTTAAATCTCAATTCTTTGACATGCAAACACACTGGAAAGGGGGCTGGAGCCAGTTTGTATGGGGCCCAGGGTTCTTTGGGGTGGAAAGGGCTTGGGATTCTGGTTTTTTCTGTTTGAGGTTTTATATCAATAGAAAATCCCCAAGGACTGTGTTGACTCTGAGTGAGAACCATGGGCAGGAAGGGACCCCGGCCCGAGGACAAGGCCACTCTGCAGTGGGGCAGTGTGAACTTCCATGTAGCAATGAGAGGCTGCGGCCACACCATCCTGAGGCAGCCACCCTGTTACTGTGGGCATGGACGGGGGGATGTCAGTGCGTGTGCATGTGTGTGTGCAAGTGTGTGGCTATATGAGACTGTATCTGTGTATATAAGTGTGTGCTTGCATGTGGGAGTGGGTATATGTGTGAGTGTGCATGTGGGAGTGTGTGTGTGTGCATGTGTGTGGGAGTGGCTGCATGCGGGTGTGTGCCTGTGTGTGAGTGTGTGTGTGCACAGGAGCCACACATAAGGAAGAGCTAACCACAAGGCCCTCGCCTGAAGCTGGTGCCATCAGGGAGAGGCCCCTCTCCCTGCCTCTGACCTTGGGAGCCCACTCCGGTGACCCTGCCGGTGGCCAGAGAGGCTGCGAGTGGGACCAAACAGCCGAGCAGTGGAACCAGCTTTCTGGCGGGGGTGACAATCCCCCGCGTTCTCTGCAGGAGGCCGGCTTCGGACTCACACTGGGAACAGAAACCCTGAGGAGGAGAGCCAGCTGTTCCTAGAAGTTCCCAGTAAGAGGACGGCTTGTGACCGCCTGGTGAGGCAGGGTCCCCAGATGCCCCGCAGCCCGGCCTCCAGCCCACTGGACACGGAGCTATGACCTGCTGGTCAGCAGGGCCTAGAGCCCCGTGGCCCTGTCCTCACCACCAGCCAGTCACCCTCCAGGCTGCAGGCCCCTTTCCAAGTGGGTGAGCTCAGTTCGGAACAAAAGGGAAGCACCCGCGGGCACCCTGGGCATCCTTAAGCTGACGCTAGCTCTGAGCAGGGCCCCAGGTGCGTCCCTGTACACTTACGACCCACCTGTCCTGCCGCCCCTGCATCCCAGGGCCTCCCCCTGTGTCCTGTAGCCCTCCCACAGCTCGGCCTCTTCACACACCAGCACCCACCACATATATGTGCACACATTGCACACACGTGCACACACACCCAGCACCCCTGCTGCAGCACAAATGTGTGCACACACACGCACACCCCAGCACCCCACTACACATGTACATGCTCACACATACACATGCTCAAATGCATGCACACATAGGCAGACACATACATACTCAAACACATCCTAAAACCTGCACTCCACACACACGTGCACACACATGCATGTGTACCCTCACCCTGCACATGCACACATGTGTGTATGCATGCCCTCACTCCGCACACATGTATACGCACATGTATGTCACACACACACACCAGAAGCTCTGTCATTCCTCCTCTGCACCACGGCTTCTGGTGTGGAAAGTGAGTTCACTTTCTCCATCTTATATGTATTTTGAGCATTAAATTCTATTCCCAACAGAGAGATGAAGCTAAAGACTTTCCAGAAACTCACATATTAAATAGCAAAGTAGAGACCATGAGTACAAAGTGCCTCAGATCCATCTTGTATACTTTGCATTTTATCATATCATTGCTCTATTTATGTGAGTCATGACAAGAATTGGCCTCTTCTTGTGAACAACAGACATGATTTCCTATTTTATAGTCAACTCATATGTACAAAAGTGACCAAGGTGACCCACTTCTCCTCCATCTTGTCCTATGTAAACTGAGAGAAGTTAAACTTAATGATACTAGACCACATTTTATGTCATCTTAGGCAAGTTATTACTCCAGTTTTCAGTTTATCATAATGTGAGTTGGCCGGGTGTGCTCTGGTTTTGACTGCAGAACTGAGAGTATCTTGGAGATTTTCCCCAAAAATATCAATTTCATAGTTGATTTATAATGAAGTTACAGGACTATTCATAGATTGGAGAAGTTTGTCTGTAATAAGTGAAGAGATAAAATGGGATGGTTTCATTTTTATGAGACAAGAAATATTAAATAAAGTAATATTTTAAAAGATATTAAGTACTGTAAAATAATAAATAAAAGAAATATTAGCTAAACTTGCCATCCTTCACCTTAAAATTCCTGTTTACTCCTGGCAAGGCAGTAAGATGAGACGAGAGAGCATGACCTCCGTCTCAGCCCCGAGCCGCGCCCTGCGCGGTAAGTCACTGTCGTGCATACTGCCCCCTAAAAACACCAGGTGATGCCCCGAGGAGAGGTGCCAGAAGGAGGGAACACGGGATCCCAAGTGAACGAGCCATTGAGAAAGAGCTCCACGTGTTCTCGGGTGCCCTGATGTAGCCAGCCATGGGTGGGGACTCGGTGAGGAACCCAGAAACATGGGTGCAAGGGTGAGGTGCCCAGGAGGGCGGAAGGGCAGCCCTGCAACAGCACAGCCGTGAAGATCTCGGCCTGCCAGGGCTCTGGAGACGCGGCAGATGCTTCCCTTGCCCGTGGCCTCCATGGGGATGACGCAAGCGTAGACAAGACAAGGTGGAAGCAAAGCCAGGATGAGTGCTCAGACCCGAACTGTCAGCCCCAGCCGCAGGTAAAACGGTGGCAGCCCATGCCCGTTCACCAGCCTTTTCAAAACACCATAGCTCTTTAGATGCCCTCCACTCCCCAACCTGTTGCAGACCCGTTCTGGGCATGGCCGTGTGCTGGGGACACCCAGTTGGAGACTCGACCAGTGGCTGAGCTTGGCCATTGCAGTCATGCCTCCCAAGGCAGGGCGGGGCTGGGGACCCCCTGGGCCCACTAGGAGAGAGGCCTGAGCCAAAATTCCAGTGACCCCCTGACCTCCATAAGCCCTCCTCTGACAGGTGGCCCCAGCAATGTCCAGGGTCTCCTGGAATTAGTGTCAGCTCAGAGCCAGAGCCCAGGAGTCCCCCAAAGCCTGGCTGTTTCCCTTTCCCGGTGCAGTCACCCTGGTAAGAGGCTCTGTTCTCTGCAGGGAAGGCTGGGAAAAGGGGAAAAGCTGCACATTTTTGGCGGCTTGCCAAGGCTCTCCCTGAAGGCCCCTCCCTTCCAGGGGTCTCCTTCCCGCCCCCCATGTACTGAGCTTCGTCTAGTATTCTATGTACTGAGCTGACTACAGTGAAGCAAAATATTTTTTCCTATCATTTAACTTATCTTTGGCTGTGAATAATGGGAAACCTAACGATTTAAGCAATTAGAGTACCTATTATTTTATGTAGTTAGAGGCCTACACTCAGTTCAGATTGGTTCAGCAGCTCCAGGTCACTGGAGACACTAATCGATGTGCTTCTTACCTCTGCTGCTTTTAAGGTTAATGTCATTCAAGATGTTTCGTCTTGTGGCCAACAGATGCCCATCACTGGTGATTAGGCCACCACGATTCCCTGTTCAGATCCGGCGAGAGAAGGGAAACTCCCCAGAACTGCTGAGCAATCCCCGCAGTGGCCCGAATTAGCCCGGTCACACCTGATCATGGGCCAGCTTTATCAGGGAGAATTACAGGTTCCCCCCAATATCCAAACAAAAGTGGAGAGTTCCTATGAAGCCTTTTGTAAATTGAAATGGTGTAAAGCAAAGGGTATCCCCCAGCTCCTGATAGGCTGATGCTTTTGTTGTAAAAGCGAAAATCCTCTTCTGATTTCTTTCATCTAGCGAAGACGGATACTCGTGCAGTCTTTTGTGACAGTGAAAAGGCAGAACACGAACTTACGGAAAGTGGGGGATGACCTGAACCGTTATCTCCTTCAGTCGTTGGTTCTCAGCTGTGCCTGCTCTTTAGAATTACCTAGGGAACTTTTAAACCCCTTAAAATCCGTGTTGAATCTAAGATTAAACCAGGGCAAGGGGGAGATTTGATGGAAACCAGGAAACACTTGCCGAAAAAAGTTATTCCACCTGAGATTTTTTTTTTTCTTCCCCGACCAAAAAAAAAAAATCACCTCCAGGTTGCTAATAATATAATACTGGATCTAGATCTTTACAGTGGAAAAAACCCTAAATCAATCCTATATTATGACTCCCTATTCACAGGGTGGACAGTTCCATGGAACAGATGGTTGAAGTGGCTCTGGATTTGAGACCGCTGGTGCAGACCGGGACCCGGGACAGCTGGTCTGTGATGCACGCCCACCTGCACCCGTCCGGCAGCCTGAGTGAGCGCCTCGGTGGGCTGGGGCTCCCGCTGCTTCCTGCTGAACCGGTGTGTCCATCACAGCTCACCCGCCACCATGGAGAGGCCCCAACTGGAATGGGCCTCAAGAAAGAACCACTGACCCTTTCAAACGGGCCACACGTGGTACCATGTAGCTTGAGTGGCACTACTGTTACTGCGGGATTTGTCATTCAGCAAACAGACTCTCATCAGAGAAACAACTGTTAATGGTGAGCAAATCTATTTTAAGAGTGGGAGAATGAATCGGGGGTGGCAGGGGCATTTGCAGTGGACGTGGCTACCTAGACGATCTGCATGCCCGCTCTCTCATGCAGTTCGTGTTTGAGAACTGCGACTTCATTGCAAGACCGTTACAACGTAGTCACAAATGTTACCCATGGCATCCACAGAGGGTGAGCACTCACATGGGAAACAAAACCGTGTCTGGGGCGATGGCCCCGGTGAGCCTTTGATGATGTCACGGCGGCCACGGCAAGCGTGAAGCACACGCTGATGGACGGGAGGAGGCTCGGAGCACTTTGTATTCATTGTAGATGAAAATCTTTAAACAGGTTTAAACGCTGATCAAGAGATGACCGGATATATAAAACTATACCCTCTTTCAAAATTAAACCTCCTGTCAAAGGTGATACATTTAAATTCATCTCATCTATTCAATGATTTGTTCAGAGTTCTAGTTTCTGTTTCCAGATTCCAAATCATTGGCTTTACAGAAACGAACAGGACTTTGTCTTAACCGCCGTAGTTGCCGTTTGTCGGGGGAGGGAGGACATGAAGCGCAGGATTCAGGGGCGGCAGCCGCACAAAGGCCTCCGACACACAGCGGCGTCACTGGAGCTGTGCAGTCCTTGTGAGGCCGGGACAAGACCTGAACGTGCCCAGGCGGGCGCGGGGCCAGCTCATTTCTCACCCTGTGCCTAACAGGAAAAAGAAGGTCAGGGCAGCCCTACTGGCCATGCCCAGCCATACTGTCTGTCCCAAAGGCCGCTGGCCCACACATGTCCTCCTGGTTGCCTGGGCTCCCAGGCGTCTGGGGGGAAGGCATGGGGACCACAGAAATCTTGGTCAGCCCTGCAGCCCGGGAGCCAGGCCAGGAAGCCAGCCTCACAGGCGGCAGAGAGCCCTTCCAGGGACTCCTGTTCACCAGGACGTGTGGTTTCTCTGCACTGGGCCAGGGGGCCACCCTTCCATGGAGGTTTCTCCTGGAAATGGCAGTTGTGGGGGTGGGCAGCACAGAGTCACTGTCCCAACAGCTGAATGTGGTCGGGCCCCGGGTGGCAGCTGTGCTGGGCTTGCGTGTCAGGACCGGTGCTGTCGTGGCAGTGCCGGCAGAGCGCGCAGGATGGAGGTGTGCAGCCTCAAGACCTCGGAGCAAAGGGGGCTGGAAAACACACCGGGGCTTCAGCCAGAATCGCAGCTGGCAGCATACGGCACGCTAAGCTCGCCTGGCTGGTGCAGAGTGGGAAGCGATGGCAGGTCGGGGCAAGGGGTGGCCAGCGGAGCAGGGCTGGAAAGCATTTTGCGTCCAAGAAAATGAAAAGCCATCCAGAGAAACGGTTGGACAAGCAGAGGCACTGCAGGGAGGGAGAAGGTTCTGAGCCGGTAAAAAGAGGGAAATCACAGGAATCCGCAGTGTAAATGTGACAAATCTGACCCGAGGCCTCCATACTCCGGGCCGCCTTCCCTACCAACACCATCACACACTGCATAAGTCAGCAGCGGGCACACTAATAATATCTGTTTAGAATGGGGTGTTTTCTTTATTATTCAAGCCCCCAAATCCAGATGCTAAAGAATATGGGCCCGTATTTCCAGTAGCTTCCTCTACATTGTTACTAAGTAGAGCTCTGACCTCACTCAGGCCCCCAGAGGGATGAACCTGGGGGACACTGTCCCAGCAGCAGACACAAAGCCCTCGCTGCACAAATACAAAAATGTTTTCTTTACAACCCCACCTTTTTTTGCACAGTTGCTATTTTTAACATTTTTTATTGAAATAAAGTTTATATACAATATTATATTGGTTTCACAACCCCATAACCATTTTTACACATTTTTTAAAGTCTAAAAACAAGTCACTGAACTGTAACTGCTGACTTCTTTCATTCAGTGTTGTACTTATTTCAGTCTCTATCTCTAGGCAAATGAAACAACGTGGCTCGTGTCAGACTTTCCCCAGAGCTCCTCACGCTTTTTTTTCTCTTGTTCAGACATCTCACAGTTATCCTCACCGTGCATATAGCTGTATTCCTAGACCCTGATTCTTTCCTGAACTCAATCGCTTCCATTTCTACTTGTTTTCTAGGCCTGTCCATCTGGCTTCACTCAGCAGATGAGAATTTATGAGTTCTTCCCACTGGGATGGACAGGTTCACAGGACTCAAATCTGAACGGATGGCCTGTCAGCCATGGCGTCCATCCAAGGAGGAAATTGGGCTCCGGTCAGGACAGAACCCGTATAAGGCATTCCAAGTGGAAGGCATTTCATTCAGGGAATTGCTCACACAGCTGACCGAAAGCTAAAGTGTGTCAAAAAGGAGAAGGTAAGACCGGTGACTGCAGGAAGCATGCAAAGCCGGGGAGCAGAGAGAGGGGGTACATGGGAGCCAGAGTGGGTGTGGCAGGCTGGGCTCTGCAGGGTGGTCATGCGGGAGCCCCGACACTGGAAGCAGCCCTCGCCCCGGGCCTCCCGACCCCTCACCTCTGGGAGAACCAACAGGGTGTCCTGAGCCTGTGGGGACGCACCCCCCCCACCCCCCCGTCACAGCAGAGCAGCACAGGGTGGTCAGAGGCGAGGCTGGGTGAGGATGGACACACACGGCTCCCAGGGCCCTTTTTATGGCTTCCTCACCCCAGTGACCAGCACCCAAGTTCTTTAGGAAGCAAGCATGGAGCTGCCTGCTCACTCACACCCGGGAGCAGCCGAATCGCAGCGACTTGCACTTGTGCCTTCTTAGTCCCATTAAGGGGGCTGAGAAGCACGGTTAGGAGGTGAAATAGCTCCTGTTCCAGCTCAAAATAAGGAAAGAAAAAAAAAAGAAAAAGCAGCTCTCAGGTAGACTTCAGTTACTGTGAATCAATATACAGTTTCTCTCTGGTATTTTGAAATACTGAAAAAGCCTGGAAGACCTTTTATAAGGACCCAAAAGACATCTAGTGGGACCAGGATTGATAAACACCGTCCTAGGTTTTATTCTACTCATCTATTAAGTTAGCAAACTACTGGAAGTCTACTTACTGAAATGCCCCACTGGGGATTCAGTTGTTTCCCAAAGGGCCACCCCCTGTCTCCCTCCCACTGTGAAGCCGGTGTCGGGAGTGACTTGAATGCTTTTTTGCACATGGTCTGGGTGCAGGCTGTACCTGCGATCTCCTGCTCCACAGGCCTTCTTCGTGGCCTTGACACTCCTTCATCAGGGGAATATGGGCAGACTTTGAGCCAGTCCTGCCCCCGAGAGTGTGGCCACAGCGATGCCCTGCGACTCCTGAGGCTGGATGACACGGTGGGTCATGCATCTCCACCCCGCGTTCAGGACCCTCGCTTTGGAACCCAGCCTCCCTGCCCTGCGGAAGCCCAAACTAGACCCCATGTTCAAGCCTGGCTGAGTTCCTGCACATCCAGCCTGCACCTCACCTTTATTTAAGCCGTCTGTGTTTTGTACACTGATCGGGCTGTAGTAACTGTTTCCCCAGGTACAAGAGAGTCATTCTGTCCTTCTCCCAGAGTGATTTAGTAGTTTCAGACCATCTCTAGCTACGTTCTGTAAGCAGAAGTCAGTTAGAGACCATGAAAGAAAAGAATGTGATGTGGTCTGATCTCTACTGCTTAATGACAGGAGAATCAGCAATATTTTAAGTTGGATTCTAATCAAATTTTAATTATATAAGCAATCCATACACCACTCACATAAGTCCATTTAAAATACACTTTAATTATGTAATTGCATTTAAAAGCAAGCCCTCTAAAACAAAAACATAATAGATAAAGCTAATGCTCCACTTGAACACCCACACTCTCCTGTTCCTGCTTCCCCATAGGGGACAGTCCCCAGTTTGATACGGTCTCTGCAGACCTCTTGTGCATTTACACGTGTGTGTTCTCGCAGAAAATGCGTGCTGTGGCTAAACTATGCAGTGTCATTTTGTGGGGGTTTGGGACATAAACAGTGACACGCCAGAGGGTTTTCTGCACCATCCTTCCCCGCTTGGTCTCTGTAACCACACACCAGCCCCCTTTCTGCTTTCAACGGCCCTGTACCTGTACAGGGCCTGGGGGTCAGCAGCTCGCGCGTTTATGTAATGGGCTTGGCGTTCCTGTGTCTCCTTCTCTCCTCAGCTTTGTTCATCTGAGGCCATTTCTGGGTGGTTAAGAGAAAATAGCTAACTGTATTGCATTCCCCAAGCTGGCCCTCTCTTACGTGTTCTCTGTTGGGTATGTTAGGGTTGGAGCCCTCTTTACTGCACTTTGTGCTGTCACGTGAAGAGTATTTCTCAGCACATTTGGTCAGTTATTACCAACATATGGAAAAGCTATTTATTTGATTCTGTTGATCATATTTATCATCTTGCTAATTTTGGGATTAATGGTAAATGCTAACTGGGGACTAGATAGGAGTAATCTTATGGGATGTATTACATAATATGCAATGCCTCAGTGTGATTTTCCTGACTTGATACTTAATTGTTGTACAGGAGAAAGCTATTATTTGTAAAAAAAAAAAAAAAATACATTATGAAGCATTGGGAAATGGTGGGAGTATCATGACCTCAATTCATTCCCAAGTGATTGAGGAAAAAATGTTTTACTGTATGTACTGTTACTTGCAAATTTTATCTAACTTTAAGATTTTTTTAAAGTTTATTTTAGAAAGTATTTGGAGGTGCTTGCTGCTAAGGAAGCCAAGACGTAAACAGAAGGTAGGAATGAAAGGGTTTAGCCGAGAGGTCTTGAAACACATGTGACTGTGATGGTGACCAGTGCAGGCAATGGGAACGTCTGTGAGCAAGGGGGCCGCTTGCTGGTTTAAGTGTCTGTACAGGCCTGGGGAAGTCAGCTGGTTCCTGGACGAGAATGGCCGTGCGCTCACCCCGGAACCCCTCCGGTGAGGCTGTCAGCCCAGTGATGGCATCTGGTTGTGCTCTTTCATCGCTGCCTTTTCCACATGACCTTTCTGGGAGTCTGAATCCATAATCGGCTGCCAAAACCGATTATCGGGTCTTGGTCTCAGCTGAACTTAAAAAAAAACAGTTTGCAAATGCTCTTCCCAGGGCAGGCACTGGACAAGTCATTTTTTGAGCCCCTTCCTATTCTGTGATTCTGGATACCAAAATTAGGTAATGAGCACCTTGGGAATATGAATTCCGGTCAGCCTCTTCCCCTCCCCCATCCACCTGCTCTGAGCAAAGAGATGGGAAGAGAACTTCACACTTGAACCAACTTAGCTTTCCGGGCAGCGGATTTAAGGGGAAGCTTTAAATAGTAGCAGCTGTTGCCTTCTCAAAGAAGTTTCTGGGAATATGTCTACTTGTTCAAATATTGTTTGGGGATTTTCTTTAACAGCATTCTACTAAATATTGAACAGTAAGCTCATAAGTCAGTGGTCACATATGCAGAATTGTACATCTTTCTTACACATTGAGCAAATGAACATACAAATGGACAATGGCCAGACCAGATTTAACAGCAGACCTCTGACCAGCAGCCTGCAGTGCTGCCCAGGAAGCCAGTAAACCACCCGGGCAGCCAGCCCCTTCTCCACAGTAAACCACCCAGGAAGCCAGCTGCTCTAAGTCAGATGTGCAAGAGCCAGGTGACTATCTCTGGTCACAGTCCGGGAAGGGCTAGGCAGTAACTTCTGAAATAACAAGGGCTAGACAGTAACTTCTGAAATAACAAGCCCCAAACGGCCAGGGCCTGAGCAATAATTTACAGCTTTCCTCACTTCTGGCCTCGCTTCCAACCGAGGGCCCACCAGAGAAAGCCACACGTACACCCTGACCAGTCACACGGGACACCTGCCTCTAGCTGACCGCTCCAGCGCCCCCAGGCTGGCAGCCTCCCCCAGGGGCCCTGCAGCGGCCCCTTTGTCTGCTCTAAGCTCACCCCGCCCCCGCCTGCCCTGAGTCTCTGCCACATGCACGTGACGGTGGCCATCGCCCTGCTCCAGCGAGCCCTGAATCAACAGCCTTTCTTTTCTAATTGGGGTAGTGTTCACTAAGTTCCACATTTCAGCACACACATTATCCCGCCTGACCCTTACAAAATCCCACATGAAGGGTGAAGCAGGAGTCCTTCCATGTCCTTAAAGACACCAACTTCAAAGGACCCACCTGAAGCAGCTCAAGGTCAAGGTCGACACCAGAATTAGGGCATCTGATTTTTCATTCTGGCTCCTTTCCAAGGTGCTGCTTGATGTCCATTATTATTTAGCCTACACTGAAAATCAAGATTCTTAAAGATAATTTAACAGGTGTCTTTTTGAAGTTTTCATTAAATTTTGTACAGGGTCTCCAACACCACCACAAAGATTCTTCCTGACACGCGGCCAGTAGAGTAACCCGCATTCCCCCAAGGAGCTGAGTAACAGACGAGCAGGAGTTAAGACTGGCCAGAAATTCAGGGAAGGATGTTTCTGGTAATAATCCCTTCTAGGGAGGCCCTGGCCGCACTTGGCCCCGTGGGCGCCCCAACTTTCCCCGAGTGCTGAGGTTCATCAAGGTACTTTCCCAGGCAGAGGCTGCTCCAATCTCCAGCCTGACTGCGGATCTCCAACATCCAACCATGAGCCAAGCACTTCCTCCCTCCAGAGAAAGTTCTCCTGTCAATTCAGTTGGGTGAGCTTGCTGACCACACGCACTGTAGCAAGGACACTTAAGTGTGTAAGCTGTCCTTCCTCCCATTAAACTCAGTGTCCCACATGAAAAACATAGATAATCATTACAGCATTAGATCGAACCATCTTTGTCTGCCACCTGAGAACACCTAGGGTGCCACTGATGTGCTACAGGGCTGCAAATCCCTAGACTGTAGGTGGCATTTGGCATGAAGGTGCATTTTCTAGAGAGAAGTTCCGTTATTTTTTAAAGGACAGGTTTTTTTTTTTAAGTATAATCATGACTCTCATATAAAATGTAAAATGAACATCCATCAAAGGTTCTCTTTAAGAAAGATAGGTACCAAATGATTTCCCTCATTTGTGGAGTGTAACAGCAAAGCAAAACTGAAAGGAACAAAACAGCAGCAGACTCACAGACTCCAAGAAGGGCCTAGTGGTTACTAAAGGGGAGGGTGGGGGAGGGAGGGTGGGGAGGGAGGGAGAAGGGCATTGAGGGGTATTATGATTAGTACACATGGTGTGGAGGGGTCACGGGAAAGACAGTGTAGCACAGAGAAGACAAGTAGTGACTCTGTGGCCTCTTACTACACTGATGGACAGTGATTGTAGTGGGATATGAGGGGGGGACTTGATAATATGGGTGAATGTAGCAACCACAGTATTTTTCATGTGAAACCTTCATAAGAGTATATATCAATTATACCTTGATAAAAAATTATAAATAAATAAAGGTTCTCTTTAACTCATTAATTAGTGAGGAAACCAGTAGGATGTTGAAGAAGAATTTAAAGACAAATTCAAGAAAAATTCAAAGTACCACACATTTATAGTAATAAAAGAATACTGAAAAACACAAATACACGTAAAACTAGCAAAACTGGCCAACATCTCCAGGGCAATAATGAATTGCATTCCACCTAACAGAATTTGCATTTCTATGGAGAAGATTCATCTGCATTCTTTGTTTTCTACAAATTACAGAGTTGTAAAACAGCTCAAGGCCAACAAAAGGTGGAGATGTCTCGATGGGATAAGCTAGACTAGGCACCAATTAATCCTGTTTTATTTTTTCCCTATTTCAAAGTCTTTCAAGATCTTTTCTGGTAGTCTCCCTTGTGATCATAATAATCTCAAGATTATTTCTGATGAGAAAATAAGCCTGACCTTCTTAGGTCTGCAGCAGGGATGTTAATTTAACTTACCGGTAGGCCCTGGTGTGATGGAATCAGAAATTAATAACCTTCCAAAAAAGAAAGCACCAGGTACAGATGGTTTCACTGATGGATTCTATCAAACTTTTAAGGAAGAAATGATACCAATTCCATACAATCTCTGCCCATAAAAGCAGAGAAAACACTTCCTGACGCATTCTAAAAGGCCAGCATCGCCCAGTACCAATGTCTGGGTGCAGGCTGTACCTGCGATCTCCTGCTCCACAGGCCTTCTTCGTGGCCTTGACACTCCTTCATCAGGGGAATATGGGCAGACTTTGAGCCAGTCCTGCCCCCGAGAGTGTGGCCACAGCGATGCCCTGCGACTCCTGAGGCTGGATGACACGGTGGGTCATGCATCTCCACCCCGCGTTCAGGACCCTCGCTTTGGAACCCAGCCTCCCTGCCCTGCGGAAGCCCAAACTAGACCCCATGTTCAAGCCTGGCTGAGTTCCTGCACATCCAGCCTGCACCTCACCTTTATTTAAGCCGTCTGTGTTTTGTACACTGATCGGGCTGTAGTAACTGTTTCCCCAGGTACAAGAGAGTCATTCTGTCCTTCTCCCAGAGTGATTTAGTAGTTTCAGACCATCTCTAGCTACGTTCTGTAAGCAGAAGTCAGTTAGAGACCATGAAAGAAAAGAATGTGATGTGGTCTGATCTCTACTGCTTAATGACAGGAGAATCAGCAATATTTTAAGTTGGATTCTAATCAAATTTTAATTATATAAGCAATCCATACACCACTCACATAAGTCCATTTAAAATACACTTTAATTATGTAATTGCATTTAAAAGCAAGCCCTCTAAAACAAAAACATAATAGATAAAGCTAATGCTCCACTTGAACACCCACACTCTCCTGTTCCTGCTTCCCCATAGGGGACAGTCCCCAGTTTGATACGGTCTCTGCAGACCTCTTGTGCATTTACACGTGTGTGTTCTCGCAGAAAATGCGTGCTGTGGCTAAACTATGCAGTGTCATTTTGTGGGGGTTTGGGACATAAACAGTGACACGCCAGAGGGTTTTCTGCACCATCCTTCCCCGCTTGGTCTCTGTAACCACACACCAGCCCCCTTTCTGCTTTCAACGGCCCTGTACCTGTACAGGGCCTGGGGGTCAGCAGCTCGCGCGTTTATGTAATGGGCTTGGCGTTCCTGTGTCTCCTTCTCTCCTCAGCTTTGTTCATCTGAGGCCATTTCTGGGTGGTTAAGAGAAAATAGCTAACTGTATTGCATTCCCCAAGCTGGCCCTCTCTTACGTGTTCTCTGTTGGGTATGTTAGGGTTGGAGCCCTCTTTACTGCACTTTGTGCTGTCACGTGAAGAGTATTTCTCAGCACATTTGGTCAGTTATTACCAACATATGGAAAAGCTATTTATTTGATTCTGTTGATCATATTTATCATCTTGCTAATTTTGGGATTAATGGTAAATGCTAACTGGGGACTAGATAGGAGTAATCTTATGGGATGTATTACATAATATGCAATGCCTCAGTGTGATTTTCCTGACTTGATACTTAATTGTTGTACAGGAGAAAGCTATTATTTGTAAAAAAAAAAAAAAAATACATTATGAAGCATTGG